AAAAATTTTATTTGACAAAATGTGCAGGACGTTTTGAATGATATTCCCTATTTTATAATTTTTTTTCCTTCTTCTTTTATCACTCTGATTTACCACAATGTGATATACCACATTGCAGAAGTTTCGCTGAAAAGCATATAAATTGGATGCACGTGGATAGAAGATTGTTTGAAATAATACTTTAGTATTTTTTATGACGTAATATATGCAAGAAGAATAAGTTGTTAGAAATATAAAAAAGTAATCGAAAAATATACTTATGACACAAGTGAGATATCATTTGCAAATAATATTTATATCCAAATATTTTCTGATTAGAAGGGATTAATCATTTGTAATCACCAGCATTTAAATTTTTTGTGACCTAGTATGTGCATGTAGCATTTTTTTACAAATATTTTCTCTCTTTTTTTTGTGGTTATTTAAGATAGTATTTGCCTGTATACATTGTCATTTGCATGTGTCTATAGTGATATTTAGCATAAGGTGATTATTTTTTTTGGGGTAAATTTGATAACAATATAGTCGTCCTTGTGGAAGATTATCCTTAAAATGCATGTAAAAGCCTTTTAAAAAAATGCGATACGAAATTTTAATGCGCGTAAATTCTATTTTTCTTTTTAGCAGGAGAGAAATAGAGAGAAAATGAGGTGAGGGCTACTCATTATTTTTCATTGTTAAAATGTTAAAGAACAAAAGCACAACGCCAGTAGAATCTAAACTCGTTCCACATTTTTCCATTCAACTTCTGAATAAAGGTAAAAAAAAGAAAAAGATATAATTAACTTTCCATTTTTTCCCCTTCTCTCATGAATTGCCTTTGTGAGTATATATATATATATATATATATATATATATATATATAGATTTTTGGCTTAATTCAAGTGTAGTTTCTCTCTTGACTTGAGTTTTTCCTTTTGTCATTTACATCTCTGGTTTTGCAACAATTTTGTCAATTTCTCTTACTAAAGTTTCTACTAGCCTGTCACGACAATAGAAAATGTTATTTGCACTCTATTTTTTGCTAAAGACAATTTTACTATTATTTTATTACACAGTCTAATAAATAAAAATCATATAATAAAAATGATAGCGAGGGTGTTATTAATAAAAAAGCAAAGTGGCATTAACAATGCTCCAATTATAAACTGCATCTTTAAAGATGGTAAAAAGCAAGTTGGAGCGACACTTCAACCAAGAAGGAATTTGTAGTGCGCAGACAGGATCATGTCGTTCTTCGAGTAATGTTATGTTATACTCCCCCGTCCCGTTTTGTTAGTCTTGGTTTTTTTTTTCACACAGATTAAGAAAGTGTAATTAATTTGGTTGGAAACATAAATTTAGATTAATAATTTCCTAAAATACCCTTATGCTAATCAATGCAGTCAATGTATTCAATGTATTGGAAAAACTCAATGTATTCAATGTAGTGGGTTAGTATTTAATAACAATGTATTAATAACAAGATATTTAATAAGGGTATTTTAGACAATTTGAAAGATTACTACATTTCTTAATGGGAAAGTGGACTACAATTTGGGACGGACGAAAAAGGAAAACAAGACTAACAAAGTGGGATGGAGGGAGTATAAAAAAGTGAACACTAAAAGCGAAAAATGAAACCGCATTGTCGTTCTTCGAGTAACGGTTCATTATTGTAGTTCCTCTTTTTTAAGGTATTAAACCTTTCCCATGGCAGCATCAGAATCCTCTCAGGCATATATATTAAACCTTCCCCTTTCGTTATTGTCCTTGTCATTCCGTACTCAGATATTTCAGACGTTTAAGTGTGTGAGTTGTCGAAGCGACAAATGTTAATGGAAAGCCGGCGAGTTGGTTGGTCTACGCGGTCTCAATTATCAATGGTTTAATTCCCTGAGGTAAACTACCCTCTAATTTCACCCCTACACTTTCCTTTCCGATGACCACCGGATGGATTGTTTTTTTTTAAAAATTATATATATATATATATATATATATATATATATGGGGTAATGATTTGATATATGTGAAATGAAAGAGAGATTGATTAGTTCTGCATATAGTTAGCTTTAGTATTTGGTGGTGCTTACTTCATGGTGTAATCCTGCAAGAGGTCCAGAAACAAGTCACTCATAAGTTTGCAGTTTTTCTGTATATAAACAGAGAGAGACAGAGAGAGAGCTTTACGATCTGAAATTGTCTGCTTATTGCAAAATTCAGTTCAATTTGAGTAGTGGGTGCCCCTACTCGAATTTCTTTGACATCCAATTGTTTATGCCTATTCATTTATGGATTTGGCCAGCAAGAGCGTCACAAGCACTAGTTAAGAATGGGTTCAAGTATTAATTTTTTTGTAAAATTAATTTAGAAAACTGTTTTAATGCACATGTGTGATAAATATGAGTGTTCATATTTGTATGGTAAGTTTTGTGTGCATTTATTTATTTAAACCTAGTTAATGAACTTTTTTTTTAAGAGTAAATTCTATATGCATTACTACGTTTGAAATGCATTTCATATAAATTTACATTTAAATTTTAAGTTTTGCATGCTTATCATGGATCAAGGCTTGGTATATGCATTTAGGCAACTCATATTTGGTAAGAAAATTGAATTGATAACTTAGAATAATTCAATTCTTTTGGTTAATGGCTAATTGAATTTTCTTGGTAAGCGCGGATACTTACACCTAGTTAATGGCTAATCGATTCATTTGGTTGGCTAATCTTATACTCCCTCCGTCCCATTTTGATAGTCCTGGTTCTTTTTTCACACAGTTTAATAAAAAGTAATTAATTTTGTTGGAACAATCAATTTAGGTAGCTATTTTTCTAAAATACCCTCACATTAATTAGAGTACAATTTTATGGGAACTTGAATTGATGGTAAAAAAAGAATCAACTCTCATTAAATGGAGTAGGTTTATAGTAACAACAACTTACATTGAATAAGGGTATTTTAGGAAAATTAAAATACAACTACATTCTTCAATTGGAAAGTGGACTACAATTTGGGACAAACGAAAAAGGAAAACAAGACTATCAAAGTGGGACGGAGGGAGTACGCACTAATCCTTTCTTAGCAAAACGTCAAATAATTAATTTAATTCATAATGAAAAATAATTGATTAGCCATTAACTAGGTGTCAATCCTCGAATATTTATTCACTCTCTCCCATTTCACTTCATAACTAATTAATTTATCAAAACCTCGGATAATTTATTTATGTTAATGCATTCAAACGTAGAATTTTGCATTATATGTATACAAATTATCTATAATTGAATTTTCTTACGAAAACCTCAGATAATTGAATCGATTAGTCACTAAGAATTTTTTCTCGCTACATTTAAATATTTTTCAAAATTTTCAAATTCTAGATAAAAAGGTTTAACCCTTGACCCGATTGATTAAACCACAAATGCGAACAAGAAACTCGTCTCATGTACTGAATTTGGATTTGAAGCATTGGCTCAATGTTTCTTAACGGGGGCTCATTTGTGAAGATAAAACTAACATTTGTAGAAATATGTAGTAAACTAATAAATTGAGGAAATTTATGAAGAACTAATCAAGTTTATACTATCAATGAAAGGATTCTTTTTACATAAGTGGAATTGAATAGGTGCTTAAAATTGAACTTAAATAAAACATCATTTTAGGTTTTCAGAGCAGCAAGTCATGAGGCCGAGGTATTAGAGGTTTCATGTTTATATCTTCTCATCCCTTCTCCGCTTTTTAAGCTTTAACCTTCCCCTGTTGGATCCAAAAAATAAAAGGCGAAGAGGGTCCACTTGCAACATCTTAAATTTTAGGGCCAGCGCTACTTTGATCAAGTTACAAGGACGGAATTGTATTCAACTCCATATGAAATTATATGACGATTTAACCAATGCGCGTCATATCGCTCTCCCAAGTATCTGGGAGTTCGCTTCATATAGGGAGGGCTGAAAATTAATCAAGTTGGTACTTGAATCGAGTTTGATTTGATAATAATTAGATCAAACTTGGTTCATTTAGTAAGAACTAGTTCAAACTTGATTCATTAATTAGTCAAATTAAATTTGAACAGCGTTTTATGTTTGATAACATTCAAATTCGATAAAAACTGATTCAAACTCGGTTTGACAAATAAACAAATCAAACAAGAACAAAATTTTAAATTCGTTAAAAAAATCAAACAACCTTGAACTCTAGGGTGTTCGATTTAATTAGATTTGATTATACCCTTATATGGGAAGTAGGGTTGAAAATGAATTGAGTCGAGTCGAATTTTAGTCTAATCAAATCGAGTTTCGACTCAATTTTATCACACATGAACTTGACATTAACGAACTTTCAATATAAAACTCAAACTCAAGTCCGATCTCAAATGCGAGCTTAGCTCAGCTTGAACTCGAGTTTGTGACGCCCCGAGGCAGAAGAAAAGGGAAAAATTTCTGGTGAATAGAGTTTTGTGGGAAAATCCGGCTAGAAGCCGTGCAAATTCCTTATATTTTTCTTAAAATTCCCTTTTCTTTGACAAATACCACTTTATAATGGCCATACTACTCAATCACCCCACAATAAGTGCCAATGAACCTAGAAAATAGGATTTTTCACTTCGGTTTCAAATTGAGCAAAATTAGGTTTTCTCGATTTTCTCGCCGGATGAATTTTCGGTATGGAGCAAGGATTAAATTTGGTGAATAAAAGTGACTTTTAAGTGAGAAATAATATGTGATTAGGAGAAATGAAATAAAGTTAGTGAATGGGAAGTAAAAACCCTAGTGCGGGTGTTTTTAAGGAAAATGGCGCGAACCGACGGGTCCCGCGCACTACCGTTTGAACGCACCATTTGACCACCACTTTCTTACCCTACAAGCTCATTGATTTTTGAGCAAAATATCCTCTCAATATCAGCTAAGTCTGACCGAAAATGTTGACTAATTATGCAAGGAAAGAAAGAAATAAATTGAGTGGATGTGGTAGTGCCAAGTGTTGGCAAATGAATGACCAAGACCTTACTTAACCATCTTACCTTCTTATATCCCAAATGAGCTAAGTCTTCCACCTTACTTCTGCTGCTAAGAGCCGAGAGAGGGAGAGAGGAAGAATAAGAGAGAAACCTCTTCATTTCTTCTTGGATTCATCTATAAAGCAAGAATCAAACCAAACCAAACCGATTAATCTTCTCCTTGAGTGATTAGCTAGTGTTTGGTGGTGAAATTTTGGAAAGAGAAGGCTTGGGCTACCCTTGGAGAACTCAAATCAAGGTAAGAGGATGATATCTCTCTAACTTTCTCTTTCAATCATGGTTAAAGTAAGCTTAGTAGCTTGATTGGTGGTGGATTCATGGATGCTAGCATGTGTAGAAGTTTTTCCCCAATTTAATTGATGAACTAGGGCTGTGGAATTTCTGCCCAACTTGATGTGTGATACTTGTATGTTACCATTGAGGTTTTATAAGGTGTTTTGGGAGTGATTGGAGTGAGAAATTAGGGAAAATTTCACTAGAAACTACAAATTCCAGATTTCTGGAAAATTCTTGATCATTTCTGTCCGAATTTGTATCTATGTGTTAGAGGCCGAATTGGCCTTGGGTCAAAGAAGGAAAGTTGTAGAGAATGGTATTTTATAGGTGCCTATAAAATTTCAGCTCAATCGGAGCAACGCAAAATTTGAAAAGTCCAAAATACCCCTACTGTTTTAAGAATTTTCCAGCAGTCCGTTTCTTCAGTTCAGTCCAGTTTATCACGATTTTTGACCAGGATACATTCTGATTTAGCTCTGGGCCAAAACATAAAAGTTGTAGTGTTCTGAAGTAGCTTTAAAATGCCTCAAAGAAAACCTGATTCGGACTTGTGTACACTGAGTTAGGTCCGTTACAGCATAATGCGTTTAAACAGCCGATGAATTGGTTTCTGGTTTAGTAATCTGAGATTTTGACTAAGTTACATTAGGAAATGGACTAAGTGACCTTCACGAATGTTGTAGCTTTGTGTCTTAGCTTCGAAACGGCATAGGTTTTGCCTTAATCCGATAAGCGTAGCCTCGGACAAGTTATTTCCGCTTTTATACGTCAAATCTGTCTTGTGCCACATTGAATTTCTGCACTTGTACTTGATGCGATTCTTGTTGTTATGATATTGTGAGCCTATGGAACGGCTCTTGACATAAATTGCTGATATGTATGTTGTTGGGTTGTTGTTGAAGAAAAATAATGAAGCCTAAAAGGCTGGAAAATTAGGTAAACACAAAGGGCATGCTGCCCGAATTTATACTCGAGGACTAGGAAACGAGACTTGTAACTTGTGTAAAGTTAAGTGATTATTACTTGAACTAGCAAGAACCTTTGCTACTTTGTTTATCGAGGGTTATACATTAGGACTTGGCCGAACTTGTACCCTTGAGGAAAAGACATAATGGCCAATGTAAACTTGTATTTCCTTGTACTTTCAACTCAAGTGTTATTTCCAAGTATCTATACTACAAAACCTTATGATTTGAAAAGCGAGCAAGTGTTTCACGAATGCCTTTCAAATGAATTTCAATTGGTTGATTCTTAATGAACGGAACGTTTAAGTTTTGAATCTTACTCGTGTTTCAAGTTCTCAAATTGGATTTTTATCGCAGAGCTGGACTTCAAACCTGGAGTATAGTTGAACGTGAATACTTGAAGCACTAGATTTTGTGTGAGTGATCCCTCGACTGTCCCAAAGTTACTTTTGAACTAATTCTTGCATTTATTACTCCATTGCATATCATTTGGGGGTTCGGGTGTGTGCCATGACATAATTTGGCTCCAATGAGTTCCTGGAAAGTCTTGTGCTTAGAACCAATGTCTCCACTATTGTTTACACGTTCTTTGGAGCACGATGGCTCCTTACCTCTGTTTCATGGTTACATGATCTAAACGAGCATTGGATATTTAAGTACAAGAACTTCACTGGCTCACATGAGCAATAAATGAACATTTGATTACTACATCATGACATCATATTAATGCTTTATTGTGAAATAGACTTGGCTGTTGATTTTACTGGTCACTCGCTGAGCTTCTAGCTCACCCCCTATTATCTTCTTCACCCCACAGGGATCGAGGTAAAGGAAGACCTTGTATTTGGATCTTTGTGTGGCTGGATGGCGTACATCTTGTATAGTTTAGTTTTGGTTTTGGTTTTGGTTTATGTACTTTTGGGCTTGTATAAATATTTGGAATTGAATCGGATGTAAATCTACATTTTTCGCTTAGAACTAGTTTCCGCTTCGATTGTGATATGTAAATTTTGGAGAATATGATGTAAAAGTTGAGTTTTATCTTGTAATTCATTCGAGGACGGTAGGGAATGACTGAGTCCTGGCGAGAGCTGGGCAGGCGGCCCGTTGACCCCTCTGATTCGCCTTAGGGGAAAATGGGATCGTTACAAAGTTTACTTGAGCTAAAAAAATAAAAAATAATTATTTTACTTTGTAAAAAAGAAATAAAATATTTATTTTCCCTTAATAAATAATAAAAACATTATTGATATATATATATATATATGTAATTTCACTGTTTTAATAAAAATAAAAAATTTATAATTGGCTTGTGAGTCGAGCTCAATTTCCTTATACCTGGCTCGAGTTCGATAGTCTGACTAGCGAGTTCGTGTTGAATTTTGACCGAATCGATTTTCAAATGATTTGATTCGTTTGTAACCCAACCTAGGAACGTGTTTTCTCTCTCTCTCTCTTTTTTTTTTTATCAACACAGAGATGTCTGAATCAATTCTTATGAAATCCGACTAATCTCCTAGTCCTGGAGTATTCCACTCTCAAGAGCACTCAAGCGGTACGTGAAGTCATACTCGAACCGGTGCCACCACGAGGAAGACCCCATGGGATCACCAGTTGAGCTGACCCCAAGGGGCCAGGGGTCAGGAACGTGTTTTCTCAACCATACAACTATCCCTGGCACGGAAACCTTTCCTTAGTTTATATATTTCCCTCAAAGTAATTGTATGACAAATTTGCATCGTCCTGATATGATATAATAATCTTCTGCATTTGACTAAACCCACCACTAATCTGCGAAGCGCCTTCATAGCGCGTGCTCGTACATCCCTCCACTGAGTAATCCGACAGAGAAGTGAGTACAGAGACTCCTAGTCCATTTGCAATAGTTGCAGAATTCAGTGGAGTCATTCACAATACAAAGGAAAGGCCTGGCTATGGCGCGCCCAATCAAATTCACGCTGTCTATCCTGCTGGCATGCGCCGCGGTGCACACTATCCTCCCACCAATTACTGCTTCTAATTCCGCCTACCCGTCATCATACGGCCTCGAAACCACCACCGACGACCTCATCCCCGTCCGACGCGAAGTCTATGGTGATGGCAGAATATTCGATATCTCTCATCGTTACCACCCTGACATGCCGAATTGGGGCTCAAGCGACGGCATCGGCCAGTTCTTATGGCTTCCCTACAGCATGAAGAATAATTCTGAAGCTAATAACTCCCAAATGAAGCTCCCAACCCACACTGGTACTCACGTCGACGCGCCGGGACATGTGTTCGATCATTACTTCGATGCTGGCTTCGACGTCGATACTCTGGACCTCGAAGTCCTCAACGGTAACCACCGCCCCTAATTTCTCACTCTTCAATATTGGTAATTTTGTATTTCTACTTCCCGTTTCGCAATTTTGTAAGCATTGGTGTATGATACCTGCTGAGTGCCGCCACCTGCTTGATTAAATTACAAGCAGCATTTCGAAGTTTTATCATCTGGCTGCCCAGCACGTGCATCACACGTCATAAGCTGTGGGTTTTGTGGTGCATACTAGTAATTAGTTAAAACCGCCAAGTGGTTTGAGGTGATGAACCAGCTGGATTGAATCAAGGGAATCCCCCTTATCGACGTGTACTGAGTTGGCTGCCACCTTAAATTAAATCAGTAAAATGGTGAAATTCCTATGAAAATAATAGGTTTTTCAGTTCAAAGGATTTTACCTGAGCCGGGCCACGCTACTTTATAACTGTTGGCGAGAACATTCACATTTCCATTTTACTGTTAGCGAGGGGCAATAGTCTATGCCCTTGATCTATGCCCTGGATAAGCATGAAAACGTGGCATGGAGATTATTGTAGACTTGTAGTGCAGTAAACGGATAGAGTTAACTTTTCTTTTTTAATAAAGGACAAAAGTTAGGTGCCTAAAACTGTGTGATAATCAGGGCATCTGTTGATGCTTTAAAAACATGGAAAGTGAACCAGAATAAAAATTCACAACCATGAGAAGATGCTCTTGGGTTTGGTATCATTGTCCCCGCTTTCAATAAAATATCCATCACAGGATCCCTTTCCTTTCAACATCTGGACTTTGCGAGGACATATGTTATTAGGCGATCATATCTACTGGGACACTTCTAGTCATTTATTCCAGTTGATTTCTCTGGGAAGCAAAAGAAGATGAAAGCTCTAATCGTGTTGTTGGTATGCACGGAGCTGCTATCTTCGGCGCTTTCATCGGCTGATGATGCATACCCAACTGGCTATGGTGATGAAGGTGCTTGTCTCAATAATATTGGTAACTTGAGGCCTGAGAGGAGAGAAGTTTACGAAGGTGGAGAAATAATTGATATCACCCACCCCTTCACTCCTGAAACACCTGTGGGAACTCCTGACGGTATAGGAGAATACCTCACTCTTTTGTTAAGCATGAAGAATGGGTCGGATTATAATTTCTCTGAGCTGAAAATACCTGTTCATTCTGGCACTCATGTTGATGCTCCGGGGCATATGTATGATCACTACTATGATGCTGGATTTGATATTGACTCCCTAGACCTCAGAGTTCTAAATGGTATTAGTTGCGAACTTGCTCCCTTTTTTAGTTGATATTACCACTATCAAAATTACTTTGGCCGTGTAACATAGGATTAATACAAATGTCAGTATGTTCTGTACTGAAGTAAATTTGTCCTTTACTTTTTGGTTGAATATTGTGCTTCCAAGCAAGGATTAGACGTCGGGACCTAATCAGAACTTCTTGTTTCTTATGGTTGTTCGTGGGACTTTTGGCTTCTTCTTTGTTTACTACATTATACTCAAAGACGGTTTCATTTTTTCTATTTATTATTTATTTTTTAATATTCTAATTTGGGTGTTTATACAGTAAGTTATCTGCTCTTTGTTTGACCATTCCCTATGACGATTTCTACTTTTCATTCATGGATCAAGTACTTTTGCATGGGTTATTTTATTCTAGTGAAATTCTGTTGTGTGTGTGATATTTCTCCTGGTGACTTTGCAAGTGTGCCCTTTCCTTGTGAATACTTTGATGCATTAGTTTGGGCCTCTTCTCGTGTATGAATAGCTTGAATGCATACTCATTTTTCACATATTTTCCTCTGTGCTATTTGCTGAGTCATTGTTTTTTGTGGTTTAATAGGTGCATAATTTTCCCTACCATGTTGCTTTTCATTGTGCAGGTCCTGCGTTGCTAATTGATGTTCCAAGGGACAAAAATCTGACAGGTATAATAACGCAGCAAAACTTCGTAGTTTTGCTAATCTCTGAATCACAAAATAACATTGTCTTTTTTCCTTTTTCCTTTTTAATTCCAGCTGAAGTTATGAAGTCCTTGAATATCCCCCGGGGAGTAAAACGAGTACTTTTCAGAACGTTAAACACTGACAGGTTATTTCATTAGTCCACATTGTGGTTGAGATTTATACTTTGTGGATGCTATAGCTTGTTACAATTGATCAAAGTTCATGCAACAAGTATATCTCAAAATTCATAGCAAAAACTAATAGAGCCCATTTAAGTGATTGAATATGGGTTTTGTCATCTGAAGCATCTTATCAACGTGTAGTAGTTGATGCTTCATGTATTGGTAATTCTAATGTAGATAACTGAATGATTTTTGTCAAATATGCTTTGCTGTCTGCATTTTTTTGGTTAAAGTTCAAAACGTAGGAATTGAGCGGAACCGAATTGTTTTATAATAATATATGGTAACGGTTCCCTATTATAGACCTTAATCCTTCGCTTCCAAACCCCACCCACCTACATACAACAGGGATTAGGGAGACCCTGCTAAATGAAAGATTGTCGACATTGAGAGTCTTCCTACGTTTTTCTGTCTGCCTTCTGATACTAAATAAGCTTGGGGATTTGATTTTTAAGATGAATGATGATTTCATTCTACCTTGCTCCCATTAGCGAACCATTACAAGTTGACCAAATCTATTGTGAGATTGGAAAAGGCATGGTTCAAGAAAAATTACAAATTCCATGGAAAAGTCATCCCTGATGACTTCCAAACAGAGAACCCGAGATACCAGATATTGTGGGCACACAGTTCTAACTTCTGAGGAAGTAAGAAGTTTCAGTCTAGATTTAGCATGATTTGTTTGGTTTCAGTTCCCTGCTTGAATTACTTTAGATGAGAAAGGAATCTGGCTAGAGGTTTTGATGCATGTGTGCTAATGTAAAAGTGCACATTACTTCCCACCATGCAAAATAAGAAATTTTAGGTTTATGCATAATGTTGGATCCTGCTGCTCTTGTAGCATTGGCCAGATAATCAACAAGTTATCAGAGGGTCTTGCATCAGATGGTTTTAGGTTTTAGTTTCAAAAGCCATTAGTTGATTGAAAACTAATTCTTACTAGTGGTTGGGTTTGAACTGCTAATTTTCTTGTAGTAGACAATAGTTCAAATGTCAAGTGGAAGGCTAATAGGTCCCCCTTTTTTTTGGGGGGGGGGGGATGAGATTTATGATCTCCAGCACTGTGGCAGGTCACTTTACCAGTGGAAGGATGCTTTACTACTGGTGAGACTTTCTGTTTCAGATTAACTTTGATTTACTCCAAGCTAATTCCATTTTCAGGCGCCTTATGTTGAAGAAGGAGTTTGATACTAGTTATGTGGGATTCATGAAGGATGGAGCACAGTGGCTTGTGGATAACACTGATATCAAACTTGTTGGTGAGCTAGATTATTGTGATTCTGTTGCTTCCTGGTGTATTTTGTTGAGAGTAATATTTATATTCGCTGCCATGGCAATTACACTTATTCTCTTGTAAAACATAATGCGCACTTCACGTGACTAATAATGATGGTCAATTTCTGCTGAATACAGTATGTTCTCCGTTCACTTGGACCCTTAGTTATAATGAGCATGACACCTAAATTAATCACCTGAATACATGACCACAGATGAATTATTTTTGTTGGAATTGCTGTTATATTCATATGTTTACTGTGCTGCATAGAAATATTATTTTAACTTGTTATGCTGCTGTAACACCTGAGTTAATCGCATAGAATACACTAAGGCAAATGGATATTTTTGTTGGCATTGCTATAATTTTCACATGTCCACCATGCTCCACAAAAATGTTACTCAAACTGTGCTCTTGTTAGCCATTTCCATATACATGTATATTGCTAATGTTTTGATATTTTTGCAAGATGCAGTAAGTTAGTTTTGCCGGATTAATTTTGCTTGAGGACTGGGTCATATTTCTGATTCTAGTTCATGAATATCAGATATTAACTTATATAGGAAGCACCATGTCCATATCAACCTGTTGAATTCTAGAGATTCAAGCAGTAACAATATTTCAGGGTGTCATGAACAACGATCAAGACCAATGTCATTCGGTCTTGTACCACTGGAGAATTTTGTGGATTATTAAGTTCAGTCATGATGCATGGGAGAATTTTCTCTCATGAGTTATAGCAAAAAAAAAAAAACATTTTTGTTAATCTATTTGGTTGTTTGGCTTGTAGGAATTGATTACTTATCTGTTGCTGCATTTGTTGATCTGATCCCTTCGCACCTTGTTTTCCTGGAAAGCAGGGTAATGTTCTCTACCTTGCCAGTTTAAACATTTTATCTCAATTACAGTCATAATCATCTTTGTCCCCCCCCCCCCCCTCTCTCTCTTTGTGGAATTGACTTGTTTCCTACTTGGATGATTTTCCAGAATTCACCATTTTATATTGGGGAAAAACATAAAAAAAAGTTAGTAGGTTTACCATGCTGGCATTGCTGATTTGAGAATTTTTCTGTTTACATTATAATTGTTGAAATGGTGCAGGAAATCATTCTTGTGGAAGGCTTGAAACTTGACGGGGTTCAACCAGGAATTTATACTGTGCATTGCTTACCTCTGAGGTTGCTTGGTGCCGAGGGATCACCCATCCGATGCATCCTTATCAAATGATATACCCTAAGATATTTTCATTACCATCTGGTAAGTTGCCGTTGAGTCATATTTGCTTTTCCTTGCACTTGTGTTTCTGTGTTGGATTGAAGCTGGTTGATACTCATCATCTTGAGCTGAAAATTAGCACTTAGATTTATAATTTGTTTCTGAGCTCTTTTTCACCAGTTCATCTGCAACTCACACATTTGCATGGATACTTTCCGGAGGCTAAGGATACTTGAGAGTGGGTGGACATGCGGAGGATCAGTGCTGCGCGTAGGTGTAATATCATTTGTCATTTGTACTAGAAATGCTTGTCAGGAAGACGGTGTGAGCGGAATATATAATTTGCTATGGGTAATAATGATTGGATAGGACGTTATGGAAATAATATAATTACTTGCGACTTGCGATGTGATATATATAAAATAAAGAAATGCTGCGTTGAGCGAGATTATCCGATCCTATGTGTCAACGTTTAAAGACCAATTTACCCAACATCTCTATCAACATCAGCACTGTTATTATCTTCTCTACTCTCTTTCAACCAATGTGACAACCCTCCTCTCACAACCTCCACCACCATTGGCTTTGCCTATTCCCCCATTTCTCCATGAACGGCTACTTCCAAACAGAAAGGAAAGAGAGCAGCCATAAGCCTGACCAGTTGTTGTCATAAAATATCAAAGTGAGGGGATTTTGAAGACCGTAAAGCCTTTTTATCAAGATACTACAACAAAAGTAATCATCGGTTCTATAATTTAAGTGATGCTCAGTTTCGTAAGGATGGGTTTACTGCTTCACTCATATGGGAATGGGATGGGACGATAGAGTTGAAATTAATGAGCGGTTGAAATTGAAATATATTTAAATCAAATTAAGGTTTTTCCGGAAATGATTTGAGTATTCTCTCATGTGGCTTCTCCAATTGTTAAGAGTTTATTATAGCAAAGCGATAGAGAGAAATAATGGAAGAGGATTGTAGGATAGAGAGATAATGGAAGAGGATTGTAGGAGGACGAGTGATGGAGGAGGGAGAGTAGACTTGAATTTCACATCCTCAAACCCATGATTTTTTTTTTTTTTTGTTTTTTGGGTTTGATATTTACGTGGATGCCACATCATCAAATATTATTATCCACATGCGTGGATACCAGAGAGTGTATCAATATTGAAAAAATAAAAAATTATGTTAAAAAATATGATTACGATGCAAATAAATAATTCCTATTCACCGTATAATTTTTTGACAAATAATTCCCATCCAAGTCGAATCAGTCCTTTGCACGCATCAGTGACGCAAATGTCCCTCACTTTGATTTACCAATTGTCCCCCAACTTTCAGTCAACATTTTTACTGAATCAATCAAGCATGATGTGCTCTTCGTAGCTAATCAGACTGGTTTCGTAGTACGGTAATTATCAGTAAGTCTCGTGATCGGTTTTTGTGTACTATCTCACTGTATATTTTTTAGGTAAGATTTTATGCAGATTTAGAGGATTAATCTGATCGAAAGGTTGGAATATTTTTAAGTAAAAAAAAAAAAAATCAAGCATGATGCAGGAATAGACAAACAAAAGAGTGACCGTCAAATTATATAGGAACAATAATAAGTATCCGCTGAAGCCATTTCGTTCATTGTTTGTTGGCGCCAGTACTCACTTTCAGTATGAAGGGGGGGGGGGGGGACTGAATTCGCTGCCTTAGGACTTTTGGTAGCAAAGCCGAGGAAGCGGTTGAGTGGGTTAAATTGGGCTTTGGTTTCATCTTTGATTTGTAGGTGAGGAGGAGGAACGTAAATGTTTGAGACGGTAACGGAGCGATGAGGGGCGCATTGACGTGATGGATGGGGAGAAGGAGCGGACGGCTCTATGGGACCTTACGGCTTAAGGTTTGTTTGATAACATAAAAAAATATTGAATATGAACTTTTTCAGATATTCATGTTTTTAGTGTTTGATAAATAAAAATTTATTTGCTAAATTTGTTAAGTAGTGCTAAACTTATGTGTATTTTTTTCGACCCAAGAATCCTAACTGAATGCTTAATTCTGATAAGAATAAATAGAATTACTTCAACCACCTTATTTTATCTACCAAATCTACCATTGTTTATTAATTATGTTCAAAATTCTTATATAATTAAACAACCTAATATTTTCTACCTAATGATTTTCTATTTCTCTTTTTTTCCTTTTGAATGACTTTCACTTATTCTCCATACTTCTCATATAATATAATTCATTTTTTATATTAATTTGATTTAAAAATAAATATTGTCATTTCATACCTAATATTTTTAGCTAATTAAATCATAGGTTCTATTTCTTTTTTGGATGAAAAGATAGAAGGGCAAAATTGTCAAATTTAACTTATTAAGCATTCAGTTATAAATGTTTATCAAATAGTATAAATAGGTTTAGCATTAAAATTCAAACATTCATAAATTTTTTTTTGTGTTTAAAATTCAGTAAATTAATTGTTTCAATATTCAGATTTCAGAATTCAAACTTCAAAATTCATATTCAGTTTTATCAAACGGAACCTTAGTTTGGGAGTTTATGATAGAAAAGAGAAGGGGGAGAGAAGCTTAAGTTATGAGAGAAGAGAAGAAAAGTGAAAGGATTGTTATGTTGTTCGAGAGTTTTGAAAATTCATAGAATAATTTTAAATATGGAAGTTATTAAATATTTATTCAAAATCTTTTTAAAAATAAAATAGATATTCTAAAAAAATTTCACAAACTTCCTCAAACTTTCTCTCTATTTTCAACCAATTTAAAAGGAAAATTTTTGCCCATTATTCATACTTTTGAATCCTCTCATTTCCTTTCTTTTCTTTCTTATTAAAAACTCACAAAATAAAGAAAAACTTAAACTTTCTCTTCTTTTCTTTTCTTTTCTGTCCAAATCCTCAACTCCGAAACGAAGCCTAAAATTTCTTTTAATCAAGGAATGGTCAGTTGTTAACTAAAGAGGGGCAAAATTGTCTGTTAATTAAAATTTGCTCTGGAACCTAAATTTTAGTCTTCCTGAGTCCTTGGATCCGTACTTCCGTCTTGACCTCTCTCCGTTGTCTGCGTCTGGATTCGCCGTCTCCACCGGAACCGCGTTTGCTTCCGCCAAACCATTATGGCATCCGCATCTGTCATCCGTCATTCCAGCAACACATCTGGCATGACCGGAGATATTTGTTTAGGCTACCTCGCTTTAAAAACCCTATCTTCTTTCCTACCATCTCCCAGTCTCTCCTCTCCCCTCCCCTCCCCACAACAAAAGGGTTCTGGGTTTACAAAACTTAAGGAGAATCACTCCTCAGAAGCCACCGCAGAGGTTTAATATAACCAAAAAACATGAAAATGATATTTTCATGTTGGATCAACATAATTGCCATCGTGGCAGCAGCACGTAATGGTTTCCTCACCATCCCCGCCGTGGCAGCTGCCGCCGCCCCCATCCCCGCAGATTTTGATGACCGCATCATCATTGATATTTCTCGAACAATGAGGAATGGCATGGCCACCTTTGGTTCTGTGACCGGTGCTCGGAATTTAACAACTGAAATCTTTGGCGGCCCTTATATAGATGGTATTCTCAATATCGGCACTCATTATGGCACCCATGTTGATTCCCCTTCACACATTTTCCCGGAGCAGTTACTTCACCAGGTTACCGTCGATTCCCTCAACCTCTCAACTCTTGTGGGTACAACAACAACCTTCTCTCTCAGCTCACCTTAATAGTTTCTGTTCCTTTGTTTTGCTAATTTTTGGTAGTAAATTGCAGTATTTCTGGTAGCAAGTTGTCTAAACTTCTTTTACAGGTCCTGTTTTGGTCGTTCAGACTCCAAATGGTGTAAATATAACTGGTATGCATTTCTAAAGTACTACGTGTTCTCTTTGGTTATAACAACTCTTTTAGTTTTTTCCTTCCCTTTTTTGATTTGCGCACCAGTAATTTTGCGTCCTTTTTTAAAAACATTATATCGTGTACCGAACTTATGATTGCTTTCTCATTCCTACCTATCTTACGCGTGTACAATTAATGCTAATTTCATCATCTGGGAGAATGGCCACATACTAGTAGGCTTAACTCTTTGGTGAAATCCTTCATTTAGTTTCTAGAGTTCAAATGTTTTTGTGTATATTAGCAAGATGGTTGCAACAAATGCAATATTTATTTATTGAATTGGCCAATTTTATGCTTGTTACGTAGATGATGGGGAATTAATGATCGCGTTGTATTAGCTGCTACCAGATTTGAAGGCTTATGAAGTATCTTTTTGTCTCTGAATTCAAACAGCCATAGTTGAAGGCTTATGTTTTACGAAAGTGTGATTGGGACCAAAGGGAATTTCTTGAATAAAGAGTTCAATAAAATGATTAGAAAATTTTCTTTCTTGATACCATTCCATTATGGGACCTAATACCAATAGTTTGTGGCATCTCTGCTGTTGATGATGACATTCATGTGCAATGCATTTACATTCTCTTAATTTTTCAATTCGCTTCTCTTTTATTCGTCCAAAGTGTTTGTCCCAACAAGTAGATAATACTTTCGAAAAAAAAAATGCCTTGATCTTACGCACGACTTTAATTGTTCATTAGGTGTTTTATAATAGTAGTGAAGGAATTGTTGGATGTACAAAATATCCGTCGATAGCTCAAGTTTTAATTCTATCTTTTGGCTGCTTTTTTGAAGATAATTTATCTGCTATGTATTGCTTTACAATTGGCCTTGATTATGATTCCCAAGCATTTCCAGTGATCCAATAAGGCTTAGTTGGTTCCTTGACATTTCTTGTTAATGTCTGACACAACAATGTCTTATGTGCATTAAAGAAGGTGCTTATTGCTTCCTGAAATGTTTTCTATTTGTTTGATTTAATGTTTTTAGACACCACTGATGGCTTATCTTATGATTATTGGCTTCTTACAGGTCAAGTCATTGACTCTTTGAAAATTCCTAGAGGAGTAAAGCGTGTAATTTTTAAGACACAAAACACTTACAGGTAGAGTTAGATGAAGAGCTTGAACTTGATCTGCTGAACCTTACTCTTAGTAAATCTGATCATAATGAAATTCACAATTTTCCATTTGCATCATGGAGACTATATCAGATGATGTTTAAGTCACATAATGCTCTATGCATGCAGTACCCCTCATTACTTGTGTTAAAGGACACTTTTGTGTTGATATGTGGCGTAAGAAATCCTCTCAGAAATCTAATTTTGTATGTCAAATTTGCTTCTTCATGCCAATCTGTATTATTATTGTGGGACTCACATGATCAAAGACTTTCATTCTTTTCAAGCATTTATATCATGTGTCACAAGTAGTGCTTTGAGTGTCTTCAATTGTGACTGCTACATCAAAATACCGTTCGGAGTAGACCAGGTCCGCCATTTGATTAATTGAGTGTTTATCTGAACTGATTGCATTTTTTAGGAAGCTGATGGATCAACAAAAGTTTGAAGGAAATTTTACAGGATTTACGGTAGGTGGGGCACGGAGATTGGTTCAGAAGACTGATGTCACATTTGTTGGTGAGTCAAAGAACGGAATTTAGTTACCATGCGTATGCCTGACTTAAACATTGCTCATAGAGGAATTTAGAATGGTTTCTGTAATTGCAAATTGATTTCTTACTTTTTGATGGTGTAAATATTTTACATGACAACAGGATTTAAATCTATGTTATGTTATGATAATCTTCTATATTTTACCAGTGAATATATGACCTAAATGTAGAGCCAACTCAAAAGATAAAACGAATATATATACTAAAAAAGATAAGTGAATATAGGCCTCAATGTTGATAAGACTAGATTCCACCTTATATTGAGCATACCTTAAAGAGTAGAGATTTGAGATGAAATTTTGCATGTGGTTGTTTTTTTCTTTTGTTGTTTGTGTGATTTCTATTTTCCTTTTCCTTTATGATTGTTGTGTATCATTTAATAAGCTCCTTTTCTTTTGTTTATCCATGTGATTGAAAAGCTTATACTAGTTTTGCTGTATCGTGATTTTGCTAAATTATGTTGTCATCATCAATTGTAGGAATTGATTACATGTCTGTTGCTGTAGAAGGTCAAATTGTCGGTGTTCACAAAATCTTCTTAGGAGCATCCAGGGTAAGGTTATGTTTCTTCAATTCTTCATCCAGTCTTGATTTGAGTCCCTACGAAACCGTCAGCTAAAAGATATCAGCAAGGCCAATAACTTATTTTTGCTAATGTCACATTACTAAGAATGGGGACAGGTACGGTTATGTTAGATGAAGTTGTGTACAGTTATTATATTTGTTACATGTTTTGAGGTACCCTTTCTACATGTGAATTTTTTTTCTGCTCCTTTTCTTTTCCCTGCCAAAGTGTTGAATTTTGTTACTTAAAGTAAAATTGTTTATATATATGTACACCAAATATTGTAAGAATACAACAACCTGACACAACTTCATCTGCCCCATGTCCATATTAGTGAGTGAAATTCCCTTGCTCTCCCCAAAAACATTTAGCGCACATTGTTGAATTAATGGGCGCCCTAGGAAGACAAAGGTTTCTGAGCTGAAATTCATGAACTTAATACCAAATTGGCCAAAAAAAAACATGTTTTTTACATCGATGTCTTCAAAGGGTTTGAGCCAATATATTTAAAGCATGAAAGAACTTTTCTGGCGGTTCATTGTACAAAGCTTAAGCAAACCCCCTCCCCCAAAGAAAGAGCTCCTGCCACTTTGTCCTCTTATGTCATGAGCAGTGCATTAAGTAAAAATAGTCACTTTTAGGAAAATTCATCATCTTATAAATAAACCTCAATTCGAATAAGGATATCTTCACTGCTATGACCATGATGGACTGTACTGGTTTCTGATGCCCTTTTTGCTTCATAATTGGTACTAATGCATTAATAAGTTGCTTGAAAGATTTTATGAATCCACAATTTCCTACTCCAACTTGTGCAAATTTTCAACCACAGATCATATCACACACTATGCTTCTGTTCTCAACATTGAGTCTGTTGAGCCATTTACTTGGTGAATTTCTCGAGGATGGGAGAATTCCTCAAGCATGTTCTATAGTTAGTAGTGTGACTAATGTGGCTGAATCACTAGGGCATTATTCCAGTCGAAAACTTGAAACTTGACGAGGTTGAACCAGGATGCTACACGGTCTACTGTTTACCGTTAAGGGTGCTGGCAGAGGCAGGACCAGCAAGGTGCATTCTTGTGAAATAAACAATTCCTTTGTAAGTGTTTTCTCTCCATATTTCCCATATTTTGTAAAATAACTTGAATGCTAGAGGTATTATCTGTTACTTTTTTACTTGTGACGTGCCATTATCTCCGGTTTCTGATTCGGCGTTCTTGCTGCAGGGAGCCAAGAGTAGATGTTATCCCTCAAGGTCTTGTCATGGAATATGGTCGCGATCCAATGGCTATCTTCTAGAGGTCTTCTCAAGCAACCTGCACTTGGCTGGTGGACTCTTAACTTGTTTGATTTGCAACTATGATCGGCAAGCACAGGCCTCGGGCACTATCTTCGCGTCAGTATGCGCACACTGATAATATAGCTTGGGGAGGCAGGGCCCTTTTGTTTTTTTTGGTAATTAACATGTTTGTGTTTCCAGGGAAACTTCACCATTGTTAGTTAACACTTGATTAATTCACGCATACACCAGAGCTCCTCTTGCTCGCTTGTTCTTATTCATTTCTTTCTTTTAATTCTGCTTTGTTGGTACAATAATACAGGGCCTCCATCTCTTCTTTTGGATAGCACTGAGAGTGTTTGGATACCCAAATTATTTCAAATAATATTTCGCTTGCATCATAAACACATTTTCCAACCTACATTTTTATATTCTCAATCACCTTTTTATCTCACATACATCACATCACAAAAAGTGCTACAGTAATTATTTCAAATAATACACTATTCAAACAAATCACTATTATTTCAAATAATATTTTACTTGCATCATAAATATATTTTTAACTCATCTTTTTATATTTTTAATTATATTTTTATTTTATATACATCACATCACAAAAAGTGCTACAGTAATTAACGTTTTCCTCCACGTGAGTTGTGAGTTGCTTTTGCCGATCCTTAAAACTTGTAGCTAACTGCTGTCTACGAAAATGTCGCTATGATAAGTATTGACCAGTACAAAATGGTAGCAAATTGTTTGCAATCGGTAATCTTTTAATTATGGCCTTATTTGATTCTACAGCGGATATTTTTGGTCTATTTAGCTAGAATAACAGTTTGAGGGGTGGATTTGTGTTGGGGGGGGGGGGCGGGGGGAAGATTATGTTGACTTTTGTCCATTGAAATTCACACGGTCATTTCCTTGTACATAATCTAGTCTCCCTTCATATGTTGACGAATGCCTTAATTTTGCTTTTTTATTCCTATTTTACATTTTATAATCTTTTCTCTCCCAAGTTCAATAAACTTGAATCATTTTACTGAACCACAAGAGAAAACACTACCAATTGAAAACGACAAATTAATTCATTATTGAAGCTTGCTTTTTTAGATGTCCAGTTTAGTATTTGTTTTTCTTTTTAAAATTTTTTTTGAAAAAGTATTTAATTTTTTTTTTTTTGAAAAAGTGTAATAGTATGATGTTAGTACATTATTTTAGAGGTGTCAAAATGGATAGATGGATTATAATTGGTTTCACATAAATGGATTATGGATTAAATGGTCTAATCCACTTAAATCCATTTAGTAAATGGTTGTATGTGGATTGGATCCAAATGGATGATGGATATCCAATTATCCATTTAAAATCCATTTAACCATCAAATAGGAAATTCCTTTATCTTTTTTGTTCATTTTCCTCTTTCGTTTTCTTCTTTCTATTTCTTATCTATCTAATTCTCCGTTTGCTGAAGAAAATGGATTAAAGCTCGCAAAGTATCTAATCCTCAAATCTGAACAAAATTCTACAATCTCGCACAAGTTGCAGAATATTCTGGTTATATGATTCATCTTCATACATTTCGACTCGTTGGCCAACATTTCCATACTACCTTTAACATCATAAAAAACCAGGGGTTGCTTTCGTTTATGGTATACTAATAACCAGCATCTCAATACTCTGGCTAAATCAAGTGCTCTAATTGAAGAATTAAATAGAATGTCACTTAGACAATTTACGGCTTCATCTTACCAGTTACCAAAAATTCAGAAAAAAAGAGAAATTAGGGCATCATTAGTTTATCCATGGCAGCGACTGGGGTATTATGGAACTTCAGAACTTGTTGTTTTGGAACTTCAGAGTCAGAGGGATTGACGTTTTTTTTTTTAAAGTAATTGGTTTTATATGGTTTATATGGATAATCCATTTAAAACCATTAAGTTAAGTGGATTTAATTGGTCAAACCATTTAAAACCACCATTGGAAATTGGCAATCCAAATCCATTTAATTAAGGGTCAAATGGATGGATAAATGGATTCTGATCCAGATTGCCGCCTCTACATTATTTATGTCAAAAACGAAAATCCATAGAATTAATTAAAGAGGTCTTGGGGGACAAAGAAAGAAAAACTTTGGGGCCAAAGTGGAATTCAACTGAATTCCAGGGAGATGCAGTGAAAATTGCCCCGACTAAATAGTTGCCCCAGCCCGCTTTCCGCTGGTCAGTCCTTCCGGTCCTCAAGAGGGTTTTGCAGTAAAGCGCCCTTCTTCTTCCAAAACCCCCGCCCCCCCAAACTCTCCCTCGGGGAATTGAGAATATATATATATATATATATAAAGAATTCAAAGAAAGTAAAAGAAGAGAAGGAAAATGGAAGGCAGATCGTACCAGAGGTTTCCGACAGTGAAGATTCGCGAGCTGAAGAACGACTACGCCAAGTTCGAGCTCCGCGACACTGATGCCAGCATAGCCAACGCGCTGCGGCGCGTAATGATAGCCGAGGTTCCCACTATCGCCATTGACCTAGTGGAGATCGAGGTGAACTCTTCCGTCTTGAACGACGAGTTCATAGCTCACCGACTCGGTCTGATTCCACTCACCAGCGAGCGAGCCATGAGCATGCGCTTCTCACGTGACTGCGATGCCTGTGATGGGGACGGCCAGTGCGAGTATTGCTCCGTCGAGTTTCATCTGAGAGCCAAATGCCTCAATGATCAAACCCTAGATGTCACCAGCAGGGAGCTCATCAGCTCTGATCCATCTGTTGTCCCCGTTGATTTCGCCAGTCCATCCTCGGAATATGATAATGCCGAGAACAGGTCCAGTAACCCTAGCAAACACGTACATTACAAACGATATCCCTTATTATTATTGTTATTTATTTTTTGGGATATTTTACTTTTTCAACTCTGTACGGAGATGTTAACGTGGATAATTCAAATTTAGGACAATTGTCGATTATGTTAGACGAAGGGGCTTTTTTCTGTATATATTGTGGCTATTGATTTCTTTTGATTGTTTGGGATTTAATGTTGTCCGAAATTTATGCATTTGAATTAGTGGTGATTTATGGGTGTAATGAATTTGATAGTTGATTTTTATAGATTGCGTGCAATGGTATTCCTTGAATCGCAAGTTCAATCTGAATGAAATTTATCATTTTGCAATGTGTGATGTTGTTGGTGTATGATTGTTGCTGGAGTTGCCAAGTGCGGAAGTATGAAGAAATGCATTCAGAATACTCCCTTATGAGGATACGGATGCATTTTTAATCTTGAACGAGATCCAGGACCAGTAGGCCTGATAGATCTTGTTTCCCTTGAGATGAGAATGATGTTAGCACTGGTTTCTTTTTTCTGGAAGGAAGGAGAGGAAAGGTTTAATTTTACATTTGTAGAGTACCTTTTCAGAGATGGGTTTTTTTCGAGTTTGAGGCCTAATTTGCATCATTTGCTTCATGTGAATCAATTCAATTTGTGCATAAGGTGTGATTTTTACATTTGCAGAGTACCTTTTCAGTTCATGATGGACACTGGAACCCCTAAGGGTTATTTCAGTTCTTCTTGGTACAGATGCATCACATTTGGTATTTGTATGCATGCGGCTTTCTGCATTGGATATGTCAGTTGGTCTAATGCTTCCTTGTACATGTTTGCAGCCCTGGCTTTGTGCATGTGGCTTTGTAAGGTTGTTTTAGAACTTGAATATTTTGGTTGGTCTAATGCTTCCTGGTACAGATTTGCAACCCTGTTGATTCTTTGATATTTATCATTTTATTTAGTTTATGTTTTTTTTTTGTGATGACATCTGGTTATGTGGTATTGCCGTACTTTAACTTCTCCGCTATGTTCTTAAATCACATTTTGTGGTGGTAATTTGCATGGTGGGTCTAACATTGTGGGAAATCTTGCTGAAAAGGATCTGGAATCAGAGTTTTAGTTTGATCTCTAGTGTTGAAGCTGTTATAATATTTACTGAATAAATTGTTTACAGGGGAATTATGATAGTGAAACTACGCCGGGGGCAAGAGTTGAGGCTGAGAGCTATAGCTCGGAAAGGTATTGGCAAGGATCATGCCAAATGGTCACCCGCAGCAACTGTTACATTCATGTATGAACCTGAGATTTATATCAATGAAGATATGATGGAGAAATTAACACTTGAGCAGAGAATGAGTGTGGTTGAAAGCAGTCCTACCAAAGTCTTTGACATTGATGCCAAAACTGGACGGGTACGTTCCTTTTGCTTTACCTCCTACATGTGTATTAGTTGAATCATTTGCACTGTGTTCGGGGATCCAAAATTATCTACTTAATGTCTGATAAGTGGTCTTCCATGGTGACTCTTATGTTCTCCCCTCCCCCCCCCCTTCTCTTCCAAAAACCCCTACTTTCTTCTCCATGGTTCTCTGACATAGAATTCAGGGAATTTGGAAGAAGGGAATTCTGGATTATACGTCTATTGTATGAAATATTTATAAATCTCCCTGTGATCGATTTTCATAGTCTTTTTAGCTTTTAATACCTTTCAGATCTAGACAACTACTAGAAACTCCTGATACCTTTCAAACTTAGACAACTGCTAGAAGCTATCCATCTCAGTTTCCATTCCTGCAACCATCTGATCATCATCCTCTTTGGCACAAGATTTTTGTTTTTGAAAATCTAGAAATCTGTTTGCTTTCTAATAGCTATTCTCCTGTTGTTTCTTTATATAATATTTTCTCGGGGACCTCCTTTTTTCCCCTGGCATGGAATTGGTTGACATAGTTCGAGGTTTGGGGTTTACTTTATTGGAATATGTTTCTTTCTACTATAGAGAAAGACAAAGGATTTTATTCTTAGGTTGGAGAAGTCCTTACTAGTATTTTCTCTTGAATGTTTTCTACTAGTAGGTTTACATTCTTGTATGTTTTCTTTTAAGGCAATGCATTAAATTTTAGTGCAGAGGAAAATTTTGCATTGAAGTGGTTTAAAAGCCTATAGCGGTTGCTTAAAACTTCATCTGAGAATCTTGACTGAACCGAAAAAATGAAATCAGTCCACGTGTTGTCACAATGGGCTATGCTCATTTTGGTTTGTTTGCATGAGCAAATGTTTATACATGCTTGTATGATTGTACTTTGACATGCATCTATTGTAAGTTTCTCTAACAGCTGTTTTCTTTGGTCATGTACGTTTGGTTTGATTATTATTAAGTGCGAGTGCAGAGAAAAATTTTGCATTGAAGTGGTTTAAAAGCCCTATAATGGTTGTTTAAAACTTCATCCGAGCACCTGCATAAGATTGACTTTAACTGACTGGCCCGAAGAAAGGAATATCAGTCCATGTCTTGTAGCAAAGGGCTA